TTGGGGAGTCAGAGGGGGGTCACTTCCCAGCAAGGCTGCCACAGTTTCTAGAGCAAAATCCTAGGTTGGTGGGGGGTGCACAGTAGCGGCCTTGCCAACGTTCTGAACCGACCGGAAGCGAGGGGGCTCAGACAGATCCTGGGGCCCCGCTGGGTCGGACTCCTCCACTGGCTCAAGCTGTAATTAGGGTGATGTATAACTGCGGGTAGCTGTAGAAAGTGTAGACTTCACAGCTAGCTCTTCGGTCCACAGATTGCTGTGTAAACAGGGGGCAGGCATTGTCATAGCTAGGGCTCTGGAACGAGATGGTTAAAAAAGTGAGGGACTTAAAGAAGCCTCTGTTTCTTAAGGTTCTGGAGGCTGGCAGTCTGCAAGCAGGGTGCCAGGAGGGAGGGGTTCTCTGTGAAGACCCTCTTGCTGGTTACATCTTCACATGGCCTTCCCTAGGCAGGCATGTCCAGAGAGATGCCAGGTGCCTCTCTCTCGCTCCTATTCATTTTATTTACTTTTTATTAATTTACTTTTTATTATCATTATTAGTCTTGTATTTGACCAGAGAGAAAGACAGACAGAGAGGGGAAGTGAGAAGGCAAGACACCAGGTCTGGGACTCGAACCATGGTCGGCCATGTGGGAGTCCAGCACCTTAACCACCACACCACCTGCTGACCCCCCACCCCGCCGCCGTGAGCCTCTCTTTATAAGAACATTAATCTCCATGGGAGGTACCACACAGTGGCCTCACCTGAACCCAGTCACCTCCCACAGGCCCCACCTCCAAAAAGGGTCACCTGGGGGTAGAGTGGGGGCAGACGCTCAGCCACTGCAGAGGTGTGTTGGGCCTCTGTACACACAGCAAGCCCAGCAGCTACAGTGCCCCTGGGTTCCCAGGGACAGACCCGTGAGTGTTAGAAAATGGGTTCTCTGGGGTCAGCAGGTGGCATAGTGGTTAAGGCACTGGACTCCCACATAGCTGTCATGGTTTCAGTCTCAGACCTGACAGCTTGAAAATCACCCCAGGAGGACCAGCAGTTAGCATAATGGCTGTGTTGCTGAACTCCCATGTAGCCAACCATGCTTCAAGTCCTGGACCTGGTGGCTTAAAACTCACGCCGGGCGCGTGTGCGTGCAGGCCCAAGATCCTGAGAGGAGAATGGAGGAGAAGGGATTATGGCGTGGCCATCCCCTCTGGGGGGTGATTTCTTGCTTTCTGTTTCTCTGTCTCTCTCTGTCTTTCTGGTGAGCGCACGCGCCCTATAGCATAAAAGAAAAAAAAATAAAACACCCAGGCATGTGTGTGTGCATGCCCAAAAACCCAGGAAGAGGATGGAGAAGGGACTGCAGCGTGGCCATTTTCCCAGGGGACGTTTTCTCTCTCCTTCTCACTGTCTCTCTTTGGCAAGTGCACACACCCTGCGGCAAAAACCTTATTTATTTATTTATTTATTTATTTATTAATAGAGGGGCCAGTAAGTGGTATAGTGGTTAAGGCACTGGACTCCCACATGGCTGACCACAGTTCAAGTCCTGGACCCAGTGACTTGAAACTCACATCAGCTGCATGTGCCTGCATGCCCAAGATCCCAAGAGGAGAAAGGAGAAGGGATTGTGGCGTGG